ATTTCTCCCGATTTAAATTATTTTTTGGCCCTAGTTATTTTCTACCTAATTAACTGTAGATACGAGAAATATAAAGTTAGAAGCCAATATTCTCATTGATCTTTGTTTCCATAAGGATCTTACAAATCTAAATCCAAATTTAAATGATAGGGAAAAATTGATTTTTGTGACTTTTGTTTTGTTTAGCACGATTTTTATCCATTTGAAGTTGATATAATTATATCCAGCTAATGTAGTCCATTTTTGCTATGTTAGAATGGTAACGACCGGAGATGTTCCAACAAGATAAGTTTTTCGATTTTTTGTAAACTCCGTCATTATTCAAATTGAACCAATTTTAAAAGAGAAAAAGAGAACCGAATCTCCCATAATTCAAATTTATAGGGTTCTTCTCTTGGAATCCTTGTGCTTGGTCGAATTTTGTGGAAGATTTTCATTATTTCCTGCTATCTTCTTCAAAGTCGGCACTAAAAACATAAGGACAACAAGCAGAAAGAAATTGGACTGAAACTGGAAGAAAAATATACACATGAAAAAGTCGAACTCGGCACCTCGAGGCTCATTATTTTGTGTGGTCATATTCTAAAAATATTTGATTAAGTTGTTCAAATTAAAATTATCCGATTTTTTTATCGATAAAGAAGAATCAAAATTTTCAACCATTATATATTAACACGTGTTTATTGTCGTGTGTACATATTTATAAAAACTTTTCTAAATAGCCAGTTGATTTTTTGTATATAAAAAGATAAAAAAAATTCAAGTCTCTTCAAAGCATTAAAATATAACATCAAAAATAGATACAATTGATGTGAAATTTTAAAAAAGCTCATTGCCAAGAACTATATTATTCTTTTTTCCATCATAATAATTCGTTCATAATTAATAGATATATGTAATTATTATTATGAGGGAAAAACTCGATATAACGTATTTTTATTATTTTTTCTCTTGACAGAACATAGTGAAATTGTAAAAGATTACATGGGAGATTTGCACTTTGCAGCAATAACAGAGTTGTAGATACTACAAGCATAATTGGTTAAGCTTGTAATTACTTGGTACTATAATTACATAGGAGGTTTGCGACAGTAACAATGGTTTAAGATATAAGCAAGCTTGTTCGCCTTTCACCTTGCACAAGTCAATGCAAGCAGCAACACCACAGTTCGTGTCAAGTGGTAAAAACACATGTTTTTCATTAATGCATTGACATTTGTTTTGCTCACACTTAATCTTCGTTACACATTTCAGATGAACACAATCAGAGTCTCTTACGCAAGATTGTGCCATAATTTGAGTGCCTGTATAGACGATTTAATAACGTGATTAATTTGGTCTTTATAATGAGGATGAAAATCACGAATGGTGATGAAGAATGTAACTAAAACAAGATTAAGAAAATCTTACATGTTGAGAAAAGTACGAGACTGATGATGAATATTGTAGCTGCTTTCTCCATTTTTTTATCGAATATGTTTTTTTTTTGAGAAAAAACTGAAAAAGTGATTTTGAGTTGTTTGTATGTCTAAAGTGGAGGGTTTGGAGACACTATTTACATTTGTAACCATTGTAGGAGAGGTTATTGGTAGATGGATATTTAAAGATTTTAAGAATTTGTAGATTCCATTGTTATTCGTTGATGGGTTCTTTAATTCTTAATAAAATCTATTGTTATTTGTTGATGGATTCTTACATTCCTTTTAAAATCCCTTGTTATTCAAAAAATTTATGTTTCATTGATTCTTCAATTCTATTAAAATCTAATGTTATTGGGAGATGGAATCTCTTCAATTTTACTCATACACCAAGATTTTCAAAATACTATAGATATACATAAGATTTTTGAAATNCATGTCAACGAAAACATATATTCATAACACAACCAAAACCCAACAAAGAAAACAACTATTATTATTTATACTCCATGTGAACATATATATTCATCAATGTATCAGAAACACTAAAATTTTTAATTTACTAT